CCCCAAAACCCCAAAACCCCTCATTCAAAATAACTAGATAATTGAATTATGATGTGTTTAGATAATGAAAATAATAGTAGCAACTTAAAAGAAATTAAATCATTAAAATTATTAATAAATTTTAATGAGCGAAATTTTGAAAGACAAACAAATATTTTACTTCCGAATTCCGACCTAAATCAGATATCTGTTTGAAAATCCTGAGTAGGATCAAGAGTAAGAAATAGGAGAAGTTGTTATCAACAAGGGGCAGGATGAGGGGATATTTCTGAAAATAAATAAACGTTAGAAATAAGACAGTCAAAGCAGTTTAGTCCAGCAGATAAGACCTGTCGACTATTTAGGGTTCAAATGCCAAGAAATGCCAGATCAAGCGTAAATCAAATATCTCATGAAGGAGAAGCTAAACGCAGATTTTGATATAAGATATGATATGTATGGGGGAGGAAGGTCTTCTCAATCAATGAACAAGAATCGCAGAAATCTGAAAGCAAAGTTGAAGAAGAAATTGAATCGTTAGATGCAATTACTGCCTTAGCAATTCGTGAAAAGCATTGAGACGCCTGCAGAAATGGTATCAATAGAGGAAATCACTAAGCCTCCTGAAGTGATTATAGCACAAAGCATTTTTGACATCAGCGATAAAAATGTCGATAAAGACGAAGATAGGAGGAATTTCATTAACATTCATGGTTAAATCAAATAATAAACAAGAGATAGGAGAGTTGCGAGAAGTGAATAAGAATTAAAGGAAGAAATATTCTAGTTGTTCTAGAGGCGCAGATGTTTTACTCTGGAAGACATGCTATCAATATTGAACTAGCCTAGAGAGCCAGTCAAGAGGATACTAGATAGCATCTGCGAGTTTAACAGAGGGAATAGAGAGTATGAGCTGAAAAGAAGCTACTTATGACAAGTATAAATGGTGATTAAATGCAACAATAATTAAGACAACGCGTTAAAATTAAAGTATTGAGTATCTATTAACAGATCATGTTAGGCAGATGCCAGTTAATTCAGCTAAATCCCTTAAATATCCCCTTAATTACAATCTCTTCTGATAGTATTATTCCTCCTCGTTGAATTCAGAAGTCATTATCCATGCTTTATAACAATTATTTGCCTCCATCTCAGTCTAATCCAAATACAATTCCTTGTATTATTTCTCACTAACAGTCGTTTTATTATTTTCACTTGATAGTTAACTCTTTTTCAAAAGATTCAAGATTCTCAGGATGTATTTAACTAGATCAATATTAGATCTGATGATCTTCTTCTTCTCTACTCTGTAAAGGATTCCAAATTTAAGCTGGTAAGATAGATCTTGGTTTTTAAGAAGTTCCAGGTCTTATTCAAGAGTAGACTTCTTCTCTTTGAAGTACTAGAGGAACTCCAAAAGTCCTAGATACTTCTTGAAAATGAAGATCTCGTAATCAATGTCCTTAGGCTTTGTAAGAAGTAAGCCACTTTCATTCTAATGTGTCTTATGAGAGTAGTAGCCCTTGAAGACTGTTCTTAGATAGCCAAGTAGGACTAGGTTTAGTTGATCAAATTTGAGTCTAATTTCTTCAGCGCAAAGCATATCGTCTTCATTTTCTGGATGAGGTAAGATCTCTGAGAAATCTGATATGTCATCTAAGATGTTGACATTCAATTTCACTCTGAAGATATATGAATCATATTTGTTATCAGGAATACAAAATCCATAACTACAAGAAAATAAACCAAGCTTTTTCTTACTTTAATAAGAGGAAGGCATTTGACCTCTTGCCATAGCAGTAGAATACTTACTCACCCTTCTTGATTGTCTTTCTCTCACAGTTAACTAAGACGAAGTATGTTCCATCTCTCATCTTCTCATCATCATACCAGGAGAAGTCTTCGTCCTCATAATCATAGTCAATGTCACCATCATCTAAATTCAATGCAGTTGGGTCCAGGTTGATTTCTCTTAGACTCTGTGCTAGCGTCGATACTTCAGTTGAAATCGATGCCTATGATTTCGTTTCACTCTCATTCTTGGTAGTTTAATCTTAAGTTAAGTCAATTATTTTAGTCTCCTAGGGTGTTTATCTACTATTATGACTGTCTTACTTTTATTCCTCCCTAAGTTAGCTTTACTTTTCTAAGATCTACCTCTTCTTTTTCTCTAGCTTTTCCAGGATCATTTACTCCTACTCTATAAAGAACTTAAAGCCTTTCTTTGGATTAATAAGGTCCTCAGCCAGTTTATCGTGGCCTAATTTCTACCCTAAACTTGTAAGCTAAGATTTAGCCGTACTACTATTCTTCATGAAGTCTTCATCAAAGTGTTCTTCATCATCATCTTCTTCTGAGGTATCATTATCCTCATCGTAGTCTTCGTCTTTGTATGTGAGATCCCATAAATGTTTCTCTTGAATCTCTTTCTTCCAGTTACTTAAACTATACTTCTCAACATTAATCTTAAATTGTTCCCTGTTGAACCTTCCCATGATGTTGTAGGGGCTTTTCCTTACTTCTTCATCTGTGAACATCTCCTGATAGTCATTCATGAATTTGTCTTTAGTAAAGTACTTATTCTTAGAATCTCCAATGATTTAGAGTTCTTTGTTGATAGTTTCATTTATGACTGTGATATGAGAATGGTTCAAATTATCTGCCATTGGAATCATAGCAGTTGTGGGAAGTCCCCATCCAAAACATCTAGAGCACACTTACGCAAAGATACGCATAAACAGATGTCTATTGATGATTTGCTGATCAAAGTGCTAAGGGTAGTGATTCAGCAATAGTTCAATCTCTTTCCATTCTAATTCAATGTCTCTTTTATAAGACTTTGTTTCATAAGCTAGATCTGGATCATCTATTGCTTCTAATTCATCCTTGCTCCAATTGCAGAAAAACTCCACGTCAGGAAGTAGATTTAAATATGGAAACCAAAACGATTCAGTTGTCTTCTGATACTCATAAAGCATGAATACAGTGAGAGTCAACTGCTCAAAATCATCATGCACCTTAGTAAATAACTTGGGGTTTTCCTTGAATACATGCCCAATAATTGGGTGATTGTGCGCCAACTCCATTGTGATCAATAAATTAAATGGCACATAAAGGAATGCTTCACGATGCTCGATGTCCTCTTTAGCCCTTACTCCTACAAGGCCGCCATCAAATTTAGCTGGATACTCTAGCTTAGGTATCTTTATCCCATTTTTGTCACACCATTCCTAGAACAGCTCATATTTCCTAGCCTGATTATCTCTGTAGACTTTCTCAATAGTGTCTGCCTCCATTTGTAATTTAAATACTAAGTCAAAATTTAATTTTATAGTGGTAGTGGGTAAATAGTATTACTAATCGACTAAATATTTTTAAGAAACTTGTAATTTAATATATTAAATCTTAAATATACTATTATTATCCATATCAAAATAATCTTCAAATATTTAAACTTGCTTTAAATTAGGAATAGATTGTGTGTAGTCATTAAAATATTAATGATCGAATTTTGTAGTAGTTCATTTTCATAATTATTTTTGTTGACTCATTTATTTTTACCTTTCCGACTCTTCCTCCCCATCTTTATAGCCTAATGTGAGAGCAAATTTGTTATCATCAGCTACGTTTCTAAATGACTTGAGGTTAGTGCTGTTGTAGTTACTATTCTTATCCATCTTTTTCTTCAGATTTCTGAAGTTATTTTAATTTTCTATGCCGCCTTCATTTCCTTCAATAATATTGTTATACTATGAAATAGAGACCTTGCTACTTCCCTCAAGCCTGTCACTATCTATGCTCATAATCTGAGCTGCAGCAAGGGCTGGATTGTATTCTAAATTATGATTCATTTTTTACTCGTCCACCTGAATGAAACTCCCTTAATTCGTTACTTTACTTTAGAAATGATCTTTCTTCTATCTCTATCTCACTGATTTCTTCTTTTTGCGACCATTATAGTCCTCATTTTGGTGCTAGTTGTAAGCGTCCTTCATGTCAAGTAATCGGACTGAGTTAGTCCTGCTATCTTCGCCATCGCCACCAACAGCAACTCCTTCCATATTCAAAATATCTTTATTCAGAATCATGACCTTATTGAATCTATAACTATTATCCCCAGAATTCAAGGTTTTTCCAATGGCTGAAATGCTTACATCAGCTCTTTCTCCATTAGATAATCTCATTTCTTAAGACTCGTTCTTGTATTCTTCATCAAGCTCTCTTAGGCTGTACATTTGATCAAGATTATTTTCATTCTCTTGAATAACAGTTGCTCCATTAAGATTTAGCTGAGGAGTGGAGTGATTGTTGTTCTGCCTTTGATTAGTAGGATTTATCAGGTTTTATTGTTTGTTTCTTAAAACTTCGATTTCTGATCTCTCACTGTCTTAGTTTAGTTTGCTTATTTCGTTATAGTACTCATGATTTTTCTGCTTAATCTTAGTGGCTGCTTGATGCTGGTACTACTAGGCACTTGAATCTTGATAGTCGTTATCTTCCTCTTCCTCATCACCTTCTTCATCATCATATTCTGGAATGTTATTGCCATTGATTTCATTAAAAGATGCATCGTTATCGTTAATGTTGTCTTGGTCCATTTCATTGATACCCTGAAGCGTGTTTTGCTTCATCATACTTCGTAAGAAATTCTAGGAATTAGAGAGATTGTCATTCATTGATCTCATCAAAGAGTGCTAAGACATTCTTGATTCATCAAGCCCGATGTTACTTTAGTTAAACTAAGGCATCATTCTATTGCTTTCAAAAACAGTTTCAAAACCATATTAACTCTGAGACTGCATTTGAGGATTGTTCACTTGCAGTCTAGAAATCCCACCTTTGCCTTCTATTGGCGGCAATTTATTTTATTGCATAGTCATTTCATTCATTAATGCAGCTGCTTATTTTTGATTTAAGTTTAGAAAGGGGTTTGAGTTATGCTTCTAATGACCCTAACCCTTGCCGTTTAATCTATTCCCAACTGATGATGCACCAGTCATACCTCTTGAGAATTTGTCTTCATTGAGTGGTTCACTCACTTATTAGTTTGAGTTTTATTGTTGCTACCTAGAATCAGGAATCGGCTGATTTTGCTTAATAATTTAAGCTGGGATATCTGGACTCTTATTTCTCATCTCCGTCACATTACCCTGATTAGTCATCTGAGTGATGACTGATTCATCTATGATTCTATTGTAATTCTTATTTGGATTCAATAGTGCTGTTTTCTTTTCTACTTAGTTCAACTTCGGTACGAAGTAATGCTCTATCTCCTTAGGGAATTTATCCTTGACATCCTTATAATGATCATAGAGCTCCTGGTTTTTAAGCAGTCCACAGGACAAGAAACATGATTACATGCAAGAGAATCTATTTTCAAGTCTGACAAAAAAGCACTTCTTTTCAATTTGAATTGGCAGCCTACCTATTCTTGGGACTTAAATTGGCCCTTAAATCTTTACGAAAGTTCCAAATTTAGACTCACAATCCTCGACAATGACCTTTCCATCTTTAAGTTTAATTGACGCTTGGTTTCTTGAGACACTAATATCAGAAACGGTTATATCATTATTTATTCTCCTTCCCACAAAGAAATCAGGCTTAACTGAGAAGACAATTACATGGATAGCCTTTGACAGACACTCGATATCAGATTCAAGCACGAGGAATTTCTTGTTTTTAGGCTATTTGAAATTTAGTAAGTAGTATGTTTTATTCTTATTGCTAACACTAATGTTATCTAATAAGTTATAAAAGAGAAGATTAAAACTTACTTAGTGCTAAAGGTTCCTTGCATAGTTCACAGACCAGCTCTTCCCAATAATAGGAATAGACACCCTCCAGCTTTTATTGTACTTTTTTTGAATCTAGCCTTTAAATAAAGATTTAGGGATTTAGCTAAATATACTAAATTATAACTTACCATTCTCTTAAGCATTATAAATGAATGAATTTCATTGAACCAGCACACTTGCAAGGAGTAATGAATGGATTTCCTTCTTCTTCAGTATCATCCAAACAAATCCTGCAAGCTTTACCACTTTCGAGACCTCCTTTCAAATTGTCTTTTAGTCCACCAGTGTTTTTATCATTAGGTCTTTTTATTCCTCTAAGATAAAATTATAAGTATATACAATCGCATCTTACTTTAAAAATGAAATTTGAGGAGAGTTATCACCTGCTAGTTAAGGTGGTGGCTATTCACCTCTTAATTGCAGATTATCATGAAAACTCATATCCTCCAAGTATGTAGTGACGTTACCATTATTAGTAATGTTAGAATGATTCTGATAGAGATTTCTCAAAGGATGCGGCAAGAGATTATTCGCTGAAATATCTAGATTACTATGGTCATTCCCTCCTCCAGGCAATTGTATAATCGGTATGTCATTATTGCTAATATCTTATGACACTGAGTAGTTTAGGGATTAATCATTCTTATCACTATCGTCTAATTGCATCTTGGCAATCTTAAATGGTATCCTTCCGAATCTTATCACATCACCTTCCTTAACCTCAATGGTTTTCTATAAAATGTTATTATCAGTATATCATGATTAGGATGAAATTGTAAATATCAAACTACATCTTTTGATGCTTATTCTAAAAATAGCTGTCTTACATTAGGCATGAATTTTGTAATTAGCCAAAGATGATTATCGATGATGTTGAACTTCGAGGCATCCTTGTTTTGAGGCTCGTATAAGTAGTATTCACCATCATTGAATATCACATTGGCAAGTTTGCTGTCTTTCTTTTGCTGATCATCTCCGTCCTCTTAGTCAGTGATGTGATTCTGCTTGTCGAAGTAAGTAGAAGCCTTTTTAATCTCGATGTCAGACTATCCTTTCTTCACTATCAAGCCTATAACACAGTTATTTTTAGAACTTCGATTAAAAGATCAATTTAAATAACATATTAGAAAATTTAGGTGATACATACTTGAACCTACGATTTCTAAAATACTGTCATAGATACGGTATCCATCATGGAAGTTAAAAAGTCTATGTGATTGCTCTTTCTCCCAAAGCCAAGATTCAGCTGTTAATCTAATAAATAAGTAAGTTAACTTGTTTACTTAGTTAAGATAGGTGTAGGTCTTGCTTAGACGGTAGTTGGCTGAATTTGTAGATCATCTGTAGAGGCAATTTTAGGTATTTTACTTGAGGGTCTCCTTTTTTTGAGGGAGGCATCAAACTAACTCTGATGATCTTCATTTCTATATTCATAATTAGCATCATTTATCATTTTCTCACATGCTTTATCTAGGATCCTTCTTTTTTAGCTATAGCGTAGATACATTATCCTAGCTGGCATCTCTCCTAGAAATTTCGAATAATTCATCTTAGTTAGGCGGTACTTAGGAGACATTGGTATGCGAAACATTGACCAAAGTTTGAGATGTCGCCTACTGAGGTTTTGGACTCAGCCTTACTTTTTAATTTACCATATTACTAATATTTCTTAAGGATTATTATAAGGAAAATTATTAAATAAATAATATCAAAATTAGAAATAAATTTGACTTTATTAGTAAAGTATTAAACATACTATTCTCATTAACATTGGATAAGATGTAGAGTGCTGTCATAAAATGATGATGTTAGAATTAAGTCAGAATCAGGAATAAACTCAAAGGCATAACAAATCGATTCATGTCCTTTGTATTCTTTGAGAGAGAATTAATCAAGTGAGAAATTGTCCTATGAATAACCAGTATAAATTGATTTTTAGTCCTAATGCTCAGCAAATAGATACCCATCATAAATAGATGCAACTCCAAATGAAACATTTGACTTGTGTGCTTTCTTATTGAATTTTATGTCCCAAACTGACTTTCCTTCAGTGTTAAGACTTGCGACTTCATATTTCATATTCCTCTCATCCCATATTCTGATAGTGCCATCATAACTACCTGTCATCACCTAAAACTCCTCCTCTTTTGTGATCCATGTCACTCCAGCATCATGTTTCTTGCAACTATACCTTTGACTAATTGGATCATCTCTGAGATCAAAACATTTAAAGCTAAAGTCATCAGAGCAAGAGTACAAATAATTATCCTAGTAGAGGTACACATACCAAATCTCAAACTGATGTGATTTTTATTTGCTTATTAGCTTAAGCGTTTCCCTATCATTTAATATCACTTCACCTGTCTACATACCTCTTACTACATATTTCTAAGATGTATCATGCATCAAGCACACATTTACTTTATCAGAGTTTGTATTGTCTTAAGAATTAGAGATGGATGATAATTGTTTTACTTAAAGTCTTTCACTTTCACTGGCTTCTTCTAGCAAGTCTATTTGATAGAAGATCACATCGCCATTTGATGCGCCAATAGAAAATACATTATCATATTCTTGCTTCAGACTTAAAATTCCATAGTCTAATTCATCACTAGTCCTTGATACTTTAAGTCTAAAAAAAGCTATTGATAAATCTATGCTTACTTATTATCTTAAGTTATGTTAACAATATTTAGAGAGCCTGACTTCTGTTGTGTCTCTTTATTTAAATGATATGATGCAGTGATGTAGTTATTCACCCCTGGGTAAGGTAATATTCAATCTATATTTCTATCAAGAGTGATTTAGTCGAGTTTTATAAATTAATTTGGCTAAGCTTCTTCCATTCTTTATTATTTATTGCGATTATTACTTACATTAATTCTTTGACTAAGACATTAGCTTGGGGTTTTGGGGTTTTGGGGTTTTGGGG